AAATCTCTTGAAGATTTTCTGACAAAAGTGGTTTTCTTTTGCTTGTGGAAATAGAACCCTACAAAACAGTTAGCTATTTCGGAGTCGGTGGTATGCAGTTTGTTTTTTAAACCTATTGGTTCTTTCGTGGGTCTTTCTCTGTTGTTTTGCAGGTTTCTAAGAAATTTGAAAGTGCGTTGGCTATCACTTTGATAGTTGGTACTTGAGATACTCTGTTGTTTTGCAGATTTCTCAGAAATTTGAAAGTGCGCCATTGTTGTTTTGGAGGTTACCCAGGAATTTGAAAGTGCGTTTTTCGAAAGAAGTGCGTTTAGCTTGCAAGATGGCTTGCCATAGTGGAAGTCCGTTTAGCTTGTAAGATGGCTTGTCTTAGAACAGCATCACTTTGATAGGTGATATTTGAGATGAACTTGTCGAAAGCCATCCGTTTAGTGTTTGCCTTAGGACAGCTGATTGTCGTCTCCAGGCTTGTACGTGCCTTAGGACAGCTGATTGTTTAGCTTGTAAGATGGCTTGCCTTAGGACAGCTGACTGTATTGCTTGTAAGATGGCTTGCCTTAGGACAGCTGATTGTCGTTTGCTTGTAAGATGGCTTGCCTTAGGCCAGCTGATTGTCGTCTGCTTGTAAGATGACTTGCCTTAGGACAGCTGATTGTCGTCTCCAGTCTTGTACGCCTTCCGTTCTTTCAGTCTGATCAGCAGTGTTGCGATTACGTCTTCCGTTCTTCCAGTCAGGTGTTGCGAAGGGCGTCCCGCTTTCTTTTCAGTTCCTCCATTTCTTTTCAGTTCCTCAAGGTGCTTAGACCAAAACACCCGATAGTGTTTAGTCTTGCCTCTGGTATAACACTCGATAGTGTTTAGTTTTGCCTCGGGGAATAGTTCTCTTTCTTTTCAGTTCCTCAAGGTGTTTGGACCAAAACAGCTTTCTTTTTAGTTCCTCAAGGTGTTTAGACCAAAACACTATCTTTCCAGTTCCTCAAGGTGTTTAGACCAAAACACTCATTTCAGTTCCTCAAGGTGTTTAGATCAAAACACTCGATAGGCTTCCTCAAGGTGCCTAGACCAAAACACTCGATAGTGTTTATATTTGCCTCGGGGAATAGTTTTCTTTGCACATCTGATCATACTCGTGATAGCAGTGCAAAGTTGGTCAGGATGTTGGCTGAAGTTAAGGGGAATAGTTTTCTTTGCACATCTGATCATAATATTCGGGTACACAGTTTATCAGGATGTTGGTTGAAGTTGAGGGGACTTGGTAGGAATGTTGGTTGAAGATGAGGGGACTTGAATAAATTTCATCCCGTGGGGACTTGTGTGAAGTTCATTCTCCAAAAGGTTTGTGGGGGGACTTGTGTGAAGTTCATTGTCTAAAAGATTAGTGAATAGACTTTCGTTCTAGAATTTCAGCAAAGACAATTTTCTTGAATACACCTATTAATACACTTTAAAGTGACATTTACAACAGATACGGCTCCCAAAATTTGTGTTATTAAGATTGCTTACCTTCTTGATAGACTTATGAAATATATAAAAATAAAATTTTCACCTGGTTTCAAAATTGCCAATCCCAAATAAGTGATATGTCGAGATGGGAATGGAACTGAAGGAAACACGTGGAACCTGGAACCGTTACGGCAGTCGTGTTCAAATTGGATTGCAGAAACGACCCTATGTTCAAATGAGACCTAAGTCAATAACGTGAAATTAACAAGTAGAAATTATGATTTTAAGAATTCAACTTAACTCACGAGGAGCGGGATAGACTTACCTCCACGTGGTGCACCCTTATCAACGTTTACTCATACGGCAAAAAAAGTCTATAAACCGACAGTTGACTTTTGACTTCAAACCGTCATGACCCTAGTGTATGTTAAATATTCCACCACTTTCACAGTACTCATTCTACCTTTATTCGGCCTTTGTGTCTACCTACTTAAACCTCTTTTGTTCCTTTCTCTAGACGTCTTGCCACTTTGTCTGTTCCTCCCTCAGTGAAGCCTGAAGTTAACTAAAGGGAGTATGATAACTATCAAAAAGCCTGACATTTCGTATGAATTTTAATTCACGTATATTCTAATTCGAAGTTACTAATCAAAACTCATTCTCAAAATCTGTAAGGCTGTAAATATTTATTTCAATTTTTCCTATTTAGGCTTAACTGTGATTTGCTTGAATTTAGAGGGCTCAAATATTTGCGTTACCTATTACAATAATATAAAATTTTAGACATATTTTTACTTCCTGTATAATGGGGTGTGCGATAGACTTACCTCCATGTGGTGCACCCTGGGCAACATACACTCATACGGCAAAAAGTCTATTAACCGGCAGTTGACTTCTCAGTTCAAACTACCATCACCCCACTGTATGTCATATTCCACCACTTTCACAGTACTCACCTTTACTTTTTCTCTACCTTTGTGTTTGTCGATCTCTTTTGCATCTGTGAATCGCTCTTCTGTTCCCCACACCTCGACTTTCTGCTACTTTGATGAACCTTCCCTCTGTGAAGCCCGAAGTCAGCCAAATGGCTAATAGTAGCTATCAAAACGCCTGCCATTTGAAATAAATTACCTCTTGTATAATAAGCTAAAATAATATTATGTTTTTTTATTATATTCTGAAAACATCGAGTGCAAAAATTTCTTCTAAGGGGTGCAATGAAAATTGTAATATCAGAATGCTATGAAACTCCATGCCAGTTATCAAAGAATCTTTGAGCTTTTTATGTTCAGATCAGTTAAATCTAATTTAATGACGAATGCAGCAACCCTTTTTTTAATCTCATTAAAACCAGGAACAGAGACGTTTTTGTAGTTCACTCGAGATTAACATGTGAAATAATGATATGACGCATTTCTCAGCTTGAATAGATTTTCTCTGATAGAAGTTTATTGTAGGAATACAGAAATGCTATGGGATTTTAATTTGTTTTGCCCTATAATTGCAGACCTTTTGATCCAATCATCTCACATATTAGTTTAAGTTAATCTAAATCATTTTTGGTCTTTATTCAGTTGACAGCAGAGGACGATAGATATCAAAGCTCAAATGCTTACTGTTTAAAGTTCCTCATCATTGACTTTCTTTTCGCAAAACTTTTTGCGATGTAACGAAATATTTCTGATACATCCCATTGGTTAACAGTTAACATTTATTTATTTGTATCAAATGGCAGGCGTTTTGATAG